AGAGAGAGAGAGAGAGAGAGAGAGAGAGAGAGAGAGAGAGAGAGAGAGAGAGAGAGAGAGACAGCAGAGCCCCACCTCTGCCTCTGACGGACCTGGAAATCACCAAGATGTCCATAGGGAGCTTCAGTTTGCTTCATCCCTGGAGTGAGTTAAAGGATGCTATAGGACTTCTTGAAAATTGAAGGGGCGGGGGAGGGATATCAGGTGCTAGGATGATGGGTCTGCACGCTTGGAGTAATCTGGGACGACTCAGGATACTTCAGTACCCAGAGAACTGCAGGTAGCTAACAGGTAGTGGAAAACCAAGGATCCCAAGGCAAGAGGATTTGAAGCTCCGAGGGAGGCGTGATCAGCGGGGGAAAGGCAGGACCCGGGGGTCAAGTCGAGTTTCGGAGTTCAGGCGAAGCTGGCAGCATGGCAGGGGTGGTGTGGGTAGGAAAAGCCTATGAGAGCTCTGCTGGCAGAGCAGACTGCACCTGAGGCCCGGCTCGTGGAGGGAGGGGCGTGCGCCGGGCGAACGGAGCTCCGCGGCCGGGGGGCGCGCGGCAGCGCGGGGATTGGAGGGCGCTCGCGGGCTCCGTGCGCTACTTAGGCGGAGCGGTGGAGCGGAGCTTGTGCGCGCGACCCCAGCCCGCCGCTTGGTCCTTGGTGCAGCGCTCAGCTGCTCCACCGCGTTCCGCCGCCTGGGGTGGGCACCCCAAAGCATGAACATGCCCTCAACACTGCCCCCCGGGGTCGAGGACACCACCTGGACCCCCGGAACCAACGCCAGCAGCGCTCCGGAGGAGGAGGAGGATGCGGTGCGGTCCGACGGCACGGGGACAGCAGGCATGGTCACCATCCAATGCATATATGCGCTCGTGTGCCTGGTGGGCCTGGTGGGCAACGCCCTGGTCATCTTCGTGATACTACGCTATGCCAAGATGAAGACAGCCACCAACATCTACCTGCTCAACCTGGCGGTCGCCGATGAGCTCTTCATGCTGAGCGTGCCATTCGTGGCCTCGGCGGCCGCCCTGCACCACTGGCCCTTCGGGGCGGTGCTGTGTCGCGCAGTGCTTAGCGTGGATGGCCTTAACATGTTCACCAGTGTCTTCTGCCTCACCGTGCTCAGCGTGGACCGCTATGTGGCTGTAGTGCACCCTTTGCGCGCCGCCACCTACCGGCGGCCCAGCGTGGCCAAGCTAATCAACCTGGGAGTGTGGCTAGCATCCTTGTTGGTCACCCTGCCCATCGCAGTCTTCGCTGACACCAGGCCGGCTCGCGGGGGCGAGACCGTGGCTTGCAACCTGCACTGGCCTCACCCAGCCTGGTCTGCGGTCTTCGTGATCTATACTTTTTTGTTGGGCTTCCTACTCCCTGTTCTGGCCATTGGTCTATGCTACCTGCTGATTGTGGGCAAGATGCGTGCGGTGGCCCTGCGGGCTGGCTGGCAGCAACGGAGGCGCTCAGAGAAGAAGATCACAAGGCTCGTGCTGATGGTGGTGACCGTCTTTGTGCTGTGCTGGATGCCCTTCTATGTGGTGCAGCTTCTGAATCTGTTTGTCACCAGCCTCGATGCCACAGTCAACCATGTGTCCCTCATCCTCAGCTATGCCAACAGCTGTGCCAACCCCATTCTCTATGGCTTCCTCTCTGACAACTTCCGGCGCTCTTTCCAGAGGGTTCTTTGCCTGCGCTGCTGTCTCCTGGAAACGACTGGAGGTGCCGAGGAAGAGCCCCTGGACTATTATGCCACCGCTCTCAAAAGCAGAGGGGGTGCAGGATGCATATGCCCCCCACTGCCCTGCCAGCAGGAGCCCATGCAAGCAGAACCTGGCTGCAAGCAAGTCCCTTTCACCAAGACTACTACTTTCTGAAAACCATTTTCACCCTCCCTCAGCTCATCTGCAAAACGTCGCACCACCCTCTCAGCCCAGCAACTTCAAGAACAACTTCTGTTTTCAGGAAGCCAGCCCCTTTCAGCAGTCTGCGCTGTCCTTAGGAGCCTCGGAACTCCTGCTAGCCCCACTCCCAGGACGGGCTCCAAGGACACTTCCATGGGGGTAGGACTCCTCTGGGAATTGGGTTAGAGAACCAGCCATTCCTGAACCTCTGGCAGTTTTTCAAGGGGTGAGAAAGAGGAGGTGGTCAGAAAGTCATGTCTACCCTTGTGTGACTTGTGACAGTGACTGCTTGGAAGAGCCCCGGGGAGGTGAGGTAGGCAGAGCCCCTTCCCCCTGCAGGCCCTTTGCCTTATGGTGGTAGAATAGTGTACATGGTGAAACAGGAGAAGATAAGATACCTCCAAGTGCTTTCCCTGAGTCTGTTTGAGACTCTTGTTGCTAAGTGAGATGTCTATGCAACAGCTGAGTGGACTTGCTTTGTCACCCTACAAGTGTCTCCCAGTTGTCAAGAGGCCAGGAACAGACTTCCTGTGAATGCAAAAGGTTTATAGAAATATGATGTGGGGGTTGCTGCAAAGCATAAAACTTCTGGTCAGGAATTAAAAGGCAGAAAGGATAAAAATCTCATCTGCTGCATTTTTTTTTCCACCTCTTTCCCTGGCTACAGGAATAGGAAGCTTCATTAAAGCCCAAGTTATGCTATGAGGGGAGGGTGTCAGGAAAAGACCAGAGAACTAGGGTGGAGGGGAAACAGACTGTGTTTTGACACCAGATGCTGACTACAGTGAAAGGCCATCCCTGTGTGCCTGGTAAGTTAACCGCAGCTCCAGTGATCTTTCCCCTGAGAAAGAGAGATTCACAGTCTGTGAGAGCTTTGCTTCTGCTAAAGTAGTGGGGGAAGCCAAGCAGACGCTGCCTCTGAGTGAGGAGTGGCTGACCGCAGCCCACATCTGTACAGCAAAAGAGCCTGCTGAGTTCCACCGACCCGGTGCTGATGGTACTAGAACAGTAAGTCAGGGGGGCAGGAGGAAGACAGGGTAGTCACTGGGCAGTTTCCACAGCTGCCTGGCAGGGGTGTATGGTCCTTAAAAGAAAACACCTGGGTCCTATCATTTTAGAAAACATCTCTCTGTGTTCTAGGGCAGTCAGCATGAGTTCTAACTGTTGGGAGGCTACTGGGAATCCAGACTGGCCCAAGAGGCAGGGTGGGGCCCAAGGACACGCCCCATCACCACGTGGGTTACAAGTGCATCTCTGAGAGCCTGGGAGAAGCAGGGGGTGACCTTTTCTGGGCTGTTTGCCCAGAGCCATGACTTGTGTGACAGTAGCAGTGCCTGGTATGTGGGAAATGGACAAGAGAGCTGAATTCTGGTCCCAGACACAAATGTCTTATAACCCAAGCAGGGCACGCAGGCCAGGTATTCAGAATTCTTGCCTGGAAAAATCAGCAGGTCCTTGTACAGTGTGGGGACTCTTGTTGATTCAGTGTTTCTGCTGTTTTGCCGTTGTTGCTGTTTGTTCTGTTGCTGCTTGAGACAAGATTCCATGTAACACCAGCTAGCCGTGAATTCACTACGTAGTAGCTAAGGATGACTTTGAACTTCTGATCCTCCTACCTCTACCTCCTGAGTGTTGGGATTACAGTGTGCAACACTATGCCCACTTTATATACAGTGTTAGGGATAGAATACAGAGCCTCATACCGGTTAGGCAGGCCCTCCACCAACTGAGGTACATCCCCAGCCCCACTTACATGGTGACTCTTACAGGGCTAACCTTATACTTTTTTGCAGGATGGAGGGACGAGAAATTCCAACTTCTTCACTAACAATAGAAAAAGATAAAGGCCAATGTTAAGTGTCTGGATGTACATCTGTAGGGATCTTACCTTCTCCAAATGCAGCTACCTAGATGCCTAAGAATGACAATTAATGTTGATTGTAGGTGTGTCAGAGGGTTAGGTAGGAATGTGTAGAAGTCATCAGGGTCTGCTTATCAGGTGAGCTTCACTTACCTCTGAGAGAAGTGCATTGCCAGGTCTCTTCCATATGCAAGGCCATGGCTGTGGATTGGAAATATCTAAATAGAGCACTGACCCCTTTGGTTCCACTAGCATGAATCCACACATGTTCACACACACACATGCCCATATCATTCCTAACTGGTCTTTACTTCCCACAGTCACCCTGGGCATCTGGAACAAGTCAGTCAGTCCCATGTCTATGGCTCTTACATAAGTAACAGCAACTTCTTGCAAGTCGTTAAAATGAAATTGTTTCTTTCTCTGTCCCTGATGCCTGGCAGAGTGGACACCGGATAAGTATGCTTGAACTTCACTGCAAGGATCATGCAGTGAGAAATTTTGGCATTTCAACGGTTGCAGTGTACGAAGGTGTTAGGCTTTTGCCTAGTTTGAGTGGGTCTGGAGTTCCTCTTTTCAGCCTTCTAATGACTCACACAGGTCCTAAGACATGCTTGTTTGCCTGGAAAAAGACTAATTCCATTTTTTAAATGCAATCTTTTAATGAGAATTATTGGCGGTTGAGGGGCAGATACCTTCAAGCTGATAGGTTGATTGATATTCTCCAATGATAATGGGAAGCATCAGCTTTAGCTAGCTTATGAGCAGGACTTTCAGCTCTCCAGCCTCAGTTTTCCACTCTTAACATATGTACAAAGAGAGGGTTTAAGTTCCAAGTTTTCTGTTTTGTCTGTGCTACCACAAAATCTGGACATGAATCCCAGCAAATTTGGACCCTGTAACACTTGCCTGATAGATTGTAAGTGGTGAATCACCCCTATTTCTCACTCTCTTATCCGAAGAACATGACAGTACAGTCTTAAGTTCTGTGAGCACAGATGTCAGAATTCTGAGTCTGTGTTTGTCTAACTCTACTGTGTTAGTCAGCACCACACCCTAAAACTCTGCTCTGTGGGTCCATGTGCAAGGAGATGTATTCAGTGACAGAGCGCGGAGGGTTTCTCTCAGTGATGCAACCAGCCTCCAGACAACATGGTGAGTCTGCACAGCATGGAACTAGCAAATGGTTGGCAAAGATGGGTATTAATCAAATAACCATATAAATGGAAGTATAATTTAATTCTAAACTAAAATAAGAATCATGTCTTGGCTGGAGATGCAGCTTAATGGTTGACTGTTTGCTTAGCATGTGCAAAGCTCTGGCTTTCATGCCCAGCAACACACACACACACACACACACACACACACACACACACACACACACACACTATTCAAAGAAAGAAGTTGGCTCCCATGAGCTAATACAATAGAGTCAGCCCTGCTCTTATAGCAGGTATTCCGGGGACACTGAGGAGGAGGGACTAGGGTGGTATGGAGGCTTCTCTGTGTGTTATTATTCAAATCAGCCTTTCTTTAGTCATTTTGTGCAGGCAGTGATTTCTCTTCCTCTCTTTTGATGAAAGCATCATTTGCATAAGGTAGAATTCACCCTTTCCAGGTGTGCTGTTCTGTAACTGTTGATGTGCAGTCGCAGTTCTGAAGTTGACACCCCAATCAAGAGAAACACGGTTTCCATCCTTCTTGCTTTCTTTGTGATCTGTAACCCACAGAAGTGGACCACAGGGAAGACAAGAGGCATGTAAAATTACAATCAGGCTCTCCCTAAATCTTTGAGTGCTGCCCTCATTATACCAGCCCTGGGTTCCTTCAACTACCCGGAAGAACTCAGCCCAGAGACCCAGGCAGCTGCAGCCTGCCCTCCTTCAGTCCGAAACCAGGAAGAAGCACTCTGTACTTCAGAAGCCTCTTAAACAAACGGGGACATTGAATAAGTTCCTGGGCAAAGTTGTGAAGTCCCTGTGGACCTTGTAACCTTTGGGACAATGGAGAAGGAATGCGGCTTCCTTCCAGGCCAGAAACCCATGCTCCCTTCCTGGAAGAACAGTGAGGGTATTCCTCCAGACCCTGCCTCTGCTGTGATCTGCCTCTGCTAACTGCTCTGAAGACAGCCTATCCTGGGTTTGTGTCACTCTGATACAACTTCTTATTCAGGCTGGCTTCCTGTGCTTTCAAAGTTCAAGAAAGCAGAATCTCACTCTAGCCCATCTGGCCAGCCAGCTTCTCTTGCTGTCAGTGCTGGGTTTCTGCAGAACCACCTTGAAGGAAGAGGGTGAAAACACAGGTGGCAGTTAAACACCTGCAAAGAATCTCAGGTGTATACCTGCACACCACCATTTCCACTTGCAGAGGAGAGTAGGGCAAAAAGTGAGGTCAAAATTAGCATGGGAAAGAAACTAGTTGACTGAAGGGAAGACTAGTAACCCCTTCCCACCAAAGCTGAGGTGTAACAAACAGAGCCTGTGCAATATATATATATATAAAGCCTCTATAAAGGTTCCTTCCAATCTGTGAGATAGGACCTGGGTACTATTGAGCTACTGGCCCACTTCCTCCCCTGACCCACTTCCTCCCCTGGAAGTGCTTTCTTCTGTAATAAACTTGTTCTGCTTCTACCGCTGTCTGTGTGTCCCTGTCAAGTTTCTCATTCTGAGACACGAGAACATGAAAGCCCCAGCGGGTGCTCACTGGGTTCCTGTATCTTCTAATATCATCAACAAACGTCTTACAGTGGAAAGACAGGGGCTGTTGTTAGCAAAGTGATAGTGCCTGAGTCTGTGCAAGGTGTGGTCTTTTTCTCAAGGTAATTAAACCCAAGCAGAGAGTGGCCAGAGCAAAGTGCCCCCCTCCTCCCCTCCATCTCCTCCTCCTCCTCCTCTCTCTCTCTCTCTCCCCCTTTATCTCCCTCCCTCCTTCCCTCTCTCCCCTTCTCTGAACAAGCTCACCTTCTTTGACCAGCCAAGTGTTTTTGCAGCTGAGGCCTGAGAGGCAGATGCCAAGGCCATGCTAGTGAGATGAGGCCTCTGAAGGAGGTGCAGACAAATGGCAGGCCTGCTTCTGCCACCATCCTGTAACTCCCTATCACACCAGATTTCTTCCAGGCAGAGGCTTAAAGACAGACACCCCCAGCCTATAGTCTGAGAGTCACAATTACCACAAGGCCCAGCTTTGAATCCTGGTGCTTTCCCCGGATCCCTGAAGCCCTCTGCCCCCTCTACCCCCACCCCATTTCAAGTAGGCGTGACTTGAGGGAACACATCCCGTGGGCTCTTTTGTGTTTTGCAATCACACTTTCAAAACAGGCTGAAAAGGAGTTTCATTCCGTTAGAATATAATGTTAAAACAATACGTAGTTTTTCATGAGTGAGGAAATCAATTGTTTGCTTATGTCTGAACCTGCTGACCAAGAGAAAAAGGAGGAAGAACCCACTTGAAGCAAAAAGGTAGTGCTGAGCCAGGCATTCGTTCTGGAAAAAGAAAAAAAAAGCAGATCTGGGTGTGGCCTGTGTCATTCTATGAACCTCGGGCAAAGGTCAGGAGATGCTGCTGGGTACCATCCTCTCAGAGCCTAACCACCATGATGCGTTTTGGGTTCTTTGTAAGCTCCGTTTTCCTGATATTGCTATGTCACTACTAATTAGCTCAAGAACAGGAGCAGCATTAGAGATCCTGGCCTTGTCCACAGCACAGCATTGCTCCCAATGTCACCCACACAGGAGGCCAGAACCATCTGGACCGGAGCCAGCTTCTCCTTCAGCCCTCCGAGAGCATTTTCTCTCCTCTCTGTGATGGAGGGGTCTCTGTGCCCCTCCATGTTTGTGAGATTTAGAAGCAGAAAGTAAAGCTAGAGCTCTGGGAGCTCGGATTGCCTATAGGGTCACTCTCACCTTGCAAATATCTCCCTCCTTAAACTGTAACCAATACTTCAGGTCACCACCACAGTTGCCCCAGGGCTGATAGCACCCTTGCAAAGTGGCTATGTGTCCTTAAAGGTCATTCTTGCACTGCGTTGCATTTGCCTCCATGGTGTTTCCCATTCCAATGTAACCTTCTCTTTATTTATGTAAGCATCTATTTACCCAATGGCTCATAGCCTTACAGTTATTAAGCATGTACTATGAGCCAGAAACTGCTTGCTCATCTTTTTACTCCTCATACAAACAAATCGAGGTAGCACTTCTGGCTCCCATTTTCAAACACTGGAGGGGGCCTGTGGTAACATAAACCCAGCTATCAGGCTGGGGTCAAATCAAGGTGTCTGTGATAGTCCTAGTCCATATTAGCTCTGCTGACTAGACAAGACAAATGGCATGTTTCTTTTTTAGGGACTTGTAAATACTCTAGAAGTTTCTATTATCTTTCTAGACAATTTCCAAACCCAGCATGTTCCTGATAAAGCATCCCAGAGTGGCTTGCAGCATTAAGGAAATTCCCTTCCTCAGGACTCCCAGCATCATGCACCTGCACCTCTTTGGGCTCATCTCCATTCTCACTGATCATTGGAATGCATGATGAAATCTCCACCTGTGGGGTCATGGTAAAGTGCTTTGTTGCACAAGTGTGAGGACCTGAGTTAAGATCCCCCTCAAACCCACATAAAAGCCTGCCACGGTAGTATTCATCTGCAACCCAGTCTTAGAGGGTAAGAGAGATCCCGAAGGACTGATCTACCTGAAGACGGGGAGATCCAGATCAATGACAGGTCCTGTCTCAATTTAAAAAATAAAATAAAGTAAGGTGGAGAAGTAATTTACAAAGACATCCCGATATTGACTTCTGACCTCCATAAGTGCCTACAGAGGTGAATAACATATGCATGCAGCCATACTGCCAATACACACACACACACACACACACACACACACACACACACACACACACACACACACTGCCTTCCCACAGTAACAGCCCAAGTTGACACCGAGAATCTCTGCCCTACTTGGATGCCTAAAATTATCTGAATGACTTACTCAACTGTTTTTTCCTCATGTTTGCCTTGTGGAAACTTTCATATTCCTACACATAAAATTCATAGTTACACCTTTCCACAGAAAGTGCCCTAGAGATCAGTGTAACAAAGACAGTAATGCCTGTCATTACCAGCAGCAATAAGGATTGGTTCGTACCAGAAGAAATGACCTTGGCATTCAGAAACAATACATGAATTTGGGCCATAGCCCTCTCATGATAATCTTGAGTTTTACATGTCAGAGAACAGAACAGGCAATGTTGAAGCACACACAGACAAACACTCAGCTGGGAAACTAAAGATGCCTCAGATCCTAGAGTGTCTGAAAACACAGACATGAGGCATCCTGTATAAAGTTGTTATGGTTACACAAATGAAAAAATAAATACCTGTGTGTACAGAGATAACATAAACTCCTTCTACATGGAAAATAACTTCCTTTTGGAAGGGATATTTAAAGCCAGAGATTGTGCCGTGAGCAGGTGATAGGGTGCAGGACAGCCTTTAATGTATGTCCTGGAGCTTGCATTGTTTGTGTGCATAAAATAAGGCATAAAAATGAGGGAACTGGGGGAGAGAAAGGAAGGACAAGAGACACTCAACAGCTCACTGTAATCTGTTTATTTTGTACATGTGACATCATAAGCAAAGGCTTTGCCTGTGTTCTAGCTAAACTCCAATAAATAAATATGTACAAATACGCTGAGCTTACAAAACAGTACAGAAAAACCTTTCCTTACAAAAGATACACATATGATACATTTGTTTCTTACACTGACCTATGAGTTCATTCCTAGCTTAGTTAAACCAAAACCCTTCTGGACCCTGTGTGGCAATATCTAGAGGTGTGTACCTAGTCATTTTTTTTTTTAGACAGAAAGCAAAGCTATGCAGTGAAAAATTCCTCAGTTTCTTAATAATAAATGGCCTACCATGGCCTGCTACTTATTATTAACTGACATTTAATGTTCTCCAGAAAGTTGTTAAAATGCAGCTTCTTGTAAGTGGGGAGGATGAGCTTAGGATTTTGCAATTCTAGCCAGATCCCAAGGGAGGTCCCAATTCTTGTTCATGGGCCAGTGGCCAGGCCTAAAAGGTCCCTCTGAAGTAGAAGATATTGTCTAAGATCCTCATTAAGACAAGGCCACATCTAGACACCCTCCAGGCACTATTCTCAAGTTCCCACATCTCCCTAAGCATCATACTGCTTTTATTTGGGACTGTAAGTGGCAAGAGCAGTTGAGAGTCAGCTAGGCACAAGGCATATAACTCAAAATTTTTTCTGGAAGATGCTTCCATCTGTCAGTCTCAGATATGTCCAGGCTAAGGACCACATACATCCCAGGATAGCTATGAATGTGACCCAGTACGTCTGAAGATGACAATGTCCTATTGCAACACCAAAAGGCTAGGGGAAGGCTCATCTGAACATTTTCAACACTGTCAAAAATAAGTAACACTATAGGAGCCAGCATACAAAAAGCTTAACAATAATTACCTTTTGGTCATTCTAAGTCAAAACAATAGCAACAACAATAAAACCCAGGCTCACCTTTTCAACAGTAAAGATGAAAAAACACAAAACAAAAACCCCAGCCTCTTTGGATTTAATTTCTGTGACATTCCAGCACTATTAACTAGTGTTCAGCTGTAGCGTTTTAACTTTCCTTACAATTATTTTGCTCTGGAAACCTGAATTTTCCGATTAAATTGCCAAAGCCAGTGAAAAAGAAAACTTTCTGCTTTTAGTGTTTCTTTTCTGTTTCACATAAGAGTTTTGTCTGGAGAGAAGGGTAAAAGCAAAGTAAGATCAGGTTTGGGGAGCAGAAAAATGAGAAAGGGAGAGTGTGAAGGGGAGGGGAAGGCATGGAGGGACAGAGAAAGGATGGGAAGACTGGAGACTTACAGACAGGGAAAAACCAAAGGGAAGAAAAGGCTAAATACTCTAAAAAAATAAATATCTGGGTCATCTCTAGCCCGTGACGTCAAGCTTTTTGCCTAAAGGCTAAAGATCAGCAGCGCTTACACATCCTGCACTCTGAGGTGAGGTCCTGGGACACTGCTGTCTTGATCTTCACTGTGTATTTGCGACCTCCGCCCGCCCAGTTGTTCAATATGGACTTGGAAGAAGCTGGGCTCTCTCACTTCAAGTCCTCCCCACCCCTGCTTCTCTTGGGGATGGGGCAGGATCTTCTCCGGTTATCTTGGCAGCCCGGAAGCTTTTAAGTTGTCAGGGAGCACAGTTGGGAGGGCCGGTGAGAGAGAGAGAGAGAGAGAAGAGGTACTGAGCCAGGAAAGACAAAGGCAACCTGGGTCTCTGGAGCAAAGTCCCTCAGAACTTCTGCAGCGTCCGATCAGTCCTCACCTGCTGCAGTACTACCTCCTTGGCTGGTGATGCGCACTTGTACTCCAGCTGTGCACGCGCCGCTCCCTGCTTCTTGCGCAGGTGACAAAGAAGCGCCAAAAGCGCCACCACCAGGGACAGGCTGGCGATGGAGGTGCCTATGAGCACGCCAGAATTCACTGGCTTTGTGGACGGCGGACCTGTTGGAAAGCCTGGCGTCGTACTGACCGTGGAATCCCCAGAGCCGGAGTCCTCATTGTCTTTATTAACAGGGATGGGGTCACAGTCCTTGGTAACCTGGCCAAC